GACTTCTCCCAAAATTAGACTTAATTTGAACACAAATAAGACTGAATCGGGAGATAAGCCGAAGACCTCTGATAAGAGTGATCCGAAAACTAACAAATCAAACGATAAGCCAAAAGATGTGACAAAAACTCCCGATAAATGCGCGGATAAAACTGACAAATCTAACGATAAGTCGAAAAGCCCTGAAAAGGTGAGCGAGAAATCGCGAGAAGTGGCAAAAACTCCGGACAAAAACGGGGATAAAAATGACAAATCAAATGATAAGTCGAAAACTCCATTGAAAAGTAGTGATAAACCGAAATCCCCGGAAAAAGCGGATAAATCGAGTGCTAATCCAAAGACTCCCGAAAAAAGTTCAGTTAAAAACTCGAATGAAAGCGAAGACAAACACAAACGAAACGAATTGAAGTCTAAGAAAGAAGATGAGACCAAAAGGGGTGACTCCGAGGATATCCCCGAAGGTATTGAAGACATGCTTGTAATCGATGAAATCAATTGCGATGACAATTCTGGTGAGACTATCGATGAAAACAGATTACTTGAACTCGAAAATGACGGCTCGAATGCCAAGAGTAATGATAAGAGCGAAGAGAACATTGAAAATGTAGTCGAAATGACTGACGTTTCTGTGGATTCAAGACAATTGTCTGAAAACAATAGTAAATCAGAAACATTAGGCGAAGTGAAGACTGAACCCAAATTGAGTGCCACTGAAGGAACCCAACCGAAGGATTGCGAGTCTGTTGAGGGAGTGGTTCCTCCAATGGATGCAAATGATATCAATCCGGAGCCAAAACCAGAGTCAAAATCTGAGACAAACAGTGGTTTAGATTTGAAAGTCAAAGAAGAAGCGATTGTCAATAAAAATAGTGAAACCAATTGTGACAAACAATCGACTGTCGATCCAATGGTTGAATCTATAACTCAAGAATTGGTTGACACAGAAAAGCAGAATTCAGACACAGATTCTGCACTTAAGACCACTACTATAGAAATTGTTACAGAATCTCAAGATATGGGAAGCAATCAAAAACAAGAAGTTGTGGACAAAAAGTCAGACATTAAGAGTGATAGCGAAGATACGAAGAAGAGTTCTGTTGGTTTACCAGAATCTTCAGCTCAAGGAGTGAGTGAAGTGTCGGTCAAAAGTGAGAGGAAATGTAACCCACTTTTAGACTTAGACGACGACATCGCGGCACTCAATGCACGCTTTGATCTAATGGTTAAACAGGACTCCACTGAAGGGGACGAAGATTATGAGGACGAGTTGGAGGGCTTTGATGTGATCGATGAGACCAATGAGTAGGAAATGGGATCTATTTCTCAACCGATTCTACTGTTTTGTCGCTTAAACTCTATTTTTCATTGTTATTGTCAATCTATTCAGCACTTCATTATGTATTTGAATTCCTCGTTATTTATTAAACAAATTCTTGAGTTGTTTTCATATTATTTAAACATTTTTTTTATTTCTCAAATCATTAAAGATTTCTTATCAAAATGCTTTTAAGTTTTATAGTTATTACTGTTCATCACAAGTGAGTTTACAATATTTTATAAACTTTAATAATTTAGATAAGAATTATGGAAATGTTTGTAAAACGCGAATCACTTCGAGTTTATAATAAAAATATCATTTCTATATAACTCTCAGTCATGTTCTCATTAAAAGTATTATGAAATCTTTTCATAAGTTATTTCGTTTATGTATTTATTTTTATTTCCATTCAATAAAAGCGAGAAATTTGTGAACGATTGGTGAGAAAATTGAGATCAAGTTTTGAATTTCAATAGTTTTTTGTGTAAATATTAATAACTAATATTTATTTTTACACATTTTTGTCAATTTGTTTTATTATTTAAAAAAATTCAATTTCTGAACTAATCATTGCTTTATTTCAGTACATAAATCATTTGTTTGTGTAGTATTTTCACGACAATTACCAAATTCTTGATTCAATCAAGTTCAATTGAATTCAATATTAGCTATTGTGTATTAAATGTTAAAGGTTCTCATTAACAAACTTATATTTTGTTTAAATAAAGACTATTTGATCACATTTCCTTTCATATATACATTGTAATGATTATTTGATAGCTAAGTGCACAGAATCTGCCGTATAGTACGCTATTAGAAAAGTGCATAATTTATAACATAAAAACAGATTTTACTTTTCAGATCCAAACAAAGTTATGTGTCTTTTAACGCCTTTTTATCGGAATTTCTATTTTATTATTTAAACAGTCATTTATTT